ATCTCCAGCTGGTGTCACACTCGCTGAAGTTTAATCAGGCTGCTGCTAGCACACAATCCCTCATTAGATGCACTGGAGCAGTATAGATGAGGGAAAGGAAACTAGAAGGTCTACAGAACCATTTGTCATTTCTGCTCATGGGTCAATCTCTGAAAGAACTAAAGCTTGAGATGAGGTAACTTGGCATGTTTTGTATGTCAGTGCTGCTAGCATAAAAGCTAACATATTTTAAAAGGGACCAAACAATGGCGTGGAGAAATTAATTTGAGCAGTTTCTCATCAATAAAACACAGAGTCTTGGCCAAGTAGGGTTATAATCCTCATCAAAAAGGGTCACTTTTTTATTAAAAACTAAATAAAATAAACAAATAAATAAATAAATTCTTGTTATATAAGAATTACATTTAATATAATTCTATATAAATGCATTGCAATAAACTCAACAACAACAGCAATAATATTTCTACTACTACTACTACTACTAATAATAATAATAATAATAATAATGATAATCATCATCACTGAAATGTAACATTTATGGTTTTTAATAACATTAAAAAAATTAATAATAAAACAAGTTAATGTTTAATATTAGTTTTATACAATATTAATATTATTAATATTAAAATTAATTTAATATTATTTGGTATACAATTGGTATAATTGTTTTCTTAGAAAGCAATGTCTGTCACAGCATAATAGCTCTCACTGCCATTATTTCTACACAACAATTAATCATCTCATAGATGAACTTCCAAATCATTCATTAAACAAGATAATAATCCATGGCTCATGAAGTTGTGCCTTAGAATTGTAAAAGAGATCTCTGATGGGGTTAAGTTAATCATTCTTTATACAAAGCGGAGCAACATCCGTTTCAAACACACTTTTAATTGACTGAGACACCACAGGAAGTCTTTGAAGGAAAAAAACGCTACCAAAGAGTTAAAAAAGAAACCAAAATCAAGCAAATATATGTAAATCACAGGAAGTTTGATGTGCTATTGATGTTTTAGGATCACTAAGTCTGTAATGAGCAATATGCTTTGAGTCAAATTAATTAGATAGCCACAAGTAACCTGAAGCAAAGCATTTGAGCTCCATATCCACAGAAATGAAGTCTGGAAGTGCAGAACTACGGCTGTCTATTTTATTGAACCAGAAGGATGAATGCAGGCACTGGAGCTACAGATCTCTCATATACACACACATATACTTTACACATATTCTTTCTCAGAAGTAAGGACTTCTAAGAGAGAGAGAGAGAAAAAAGCTTTTTCCATTTGTGTGAAAGCCCTGCTGTCAGATTTAAGATGGTAATAATGGGATCTCACTGCGAGCCCTCAGAGAAAGTTTAACTCAGACGTAAGATGCGGGCTGGAATAAGAATCAGGAGACGGGGTGCTTTAAACACCCTGCGGTCCAGCTATAGAGAGCCAGCGATGCCAGGTAGCACTTGCAGCTGAACAAAGACTGGACCCAGATCTCTCCAGATATCTTTGCTTCAATCTCCACCAGAAAGCATTTGAGGATACAACAGAAAGTGATGTACCTGCAATAACATCCAAAATAGAGACAAAAAGCGCTATCTCCCTGAACAGCTTCATTTACAAGTACTTCAGAAAAATACTAATGTTTTTTGAAGGACTTTGTGCGTTCCCTGGACCGAATCTTTTTCTTTTCACCACAGGAGTAGATTAAGATTATTTACGCCTGAGTTCATATGAACAACTCTCATTCATCGCATTGGATGAGAACCAAAAGAATAATCTAAAGTCTCAATACAAGAGTACAAACAGCTTTTCCCACCGCTCTCAGCTCAGACAGTCGGACAGAAAGGGCTACTGTTTGATTTCGAATAAAGGAATAATAAAATCGCTGAATAGGGTGACAGCAGGCCACATTTTATCCCCAGGCGCTTGCGGCTTTGAGGTCAGACTTGAGGGCCAAAGTAGGCACAAGGCCAAGAAATGAAGTCTGATACTATAGCAGCATTTAGCAGAATGCGGTGATTGTGGTAAAGCTGTCTACAAGAAACCAATCATTTCAAACAGTAGAAATTCCATAAATCAGCAAAACAGCAAATATATGTTAACGTAAAATTTACCTATACAGTATGCTACCCATTTAATATAAATATAGAATATACACATATCTAGAATAAATAAATGCATTGTATAAATATACAAAATATCTAAATTCATAAATACATAAAAAGCAGTAATTAAATATTAATTAGTATCATGTTTATTTTTATTATTAAAAAAAATAGTATTCACATTATAGCACAAGTTTAACTGCTATCTAAAAATACAGAGCTTTATATAAAAAATAAATGTAAAAAAAACAATTGTATGTATGAAATGTATAATTAGTATTAAAAATATTAAATTAAATAAAAAATAATATTAATAAAATATAATAGAATATTAATAATAATAATAATAATAATAATGATAATCATCATCATCATCATCATCAGTAAAAAAAATTAATAAGCGATGTGGTCACATATTAAATCTGTGATAAGTAAAAATAAATAAATAAATAAACATTTAAAAACAAGAACATACACAGAAATACTAATAATAATACTAATAATACTAATAATAATATATTATTATTATTATTATTATTATTATTATTATTATCATATTTTCTTGTCCTTACCAGGTCAAGAAAATATGATCATATTACCCCAATTTTCAAAAGTAATAATAAAATTTGTACTTTGTAATTGCTGAAATTAATAACTTGTATGAAAAAGCAAAAAGCAAAATTATAATTATATAAAATAAATATAATATTCTAAATTAAATTTGATCATAAGTCTAATTATTTCTCTCACACACACACACACACACACACACACACACATGTCTGGTTTGCTATCCTTGTGGGGTACACCAACCCTACCCCTAAACCTACCCCTCACAGGAAACTTTCTGCATTTTTAGATTTTCAAAAAACTTAATTCTGTATGATTTATAAGCTTTTGTACCCGTGGGGACCACAATTTAGGTCCCCACTGTGACACGAGTCCCCATGAGTCTGTGTGTATTCAGGTTTAAGTCCCCACCAGAATAGAAAAACAGGTACACACACACACACACACAAATAATAATAATAATAATAAAATAAACACAGCATGTGTATAAGCACAATAGCATTCACTGCCAAACAACAATTAAGTGACTAAAGAGTTTAAAGAAATATATTTAAAAAAATAATAATAATAATAATAACCCATGACTCATGAATGTATGCTTTATATTATTGTTAAAAATAAAGTGGTCACACTTTATTTTAAGGTCCAATTCTTGCTATTAATAAACCATTAACTACTCCTAATGTGCTGCTTATTTATAGTTAGTAGGGTAGTTAGGTATTGGGTAGGATTAGGGATGTAGAATATGGTCATTCAGAGTATCTGCTTTATAGCCTAAAAAACAGCCAATATGTTAATAATAGGCATAGTTAATAGTGAGAATTGGTCCCTATACTACAGTGTTACCAATAAAGTATATGGATGTTCTTTCTTTCTGGAGTTTGAATAACAGGGTACAAGCAAACCAAAGCACAACAATCATCTTCCTGTAATTTGCTGGAGACCAAAACAGCCGGAACGAGTCAGATCAAGCCGGAACCGGCAGCCGGACTTCTTCCAGCACCATCCAGAGCTCTCCTCCCTCCTCCATTCTCTTACTTAATTCCACATCCGTTTACGTTATCGGCTTAATCTCCAATTAATTAGCTTTGTTAAAAAAGGATTGAGAGTTCTCGCTTTCTGTCAACAAGAGTGGGGGGTAACAGATGGAAGAGGGTGGGAGGGTATAAAGGGATTGGTGGAAAGAAGAGACAAGGGTAGCGGTTGTAAAACACGGTAGAAAGGGGGGGGGGGGGATGTCCCCGTGGGAACCAAAGTGAAACGGAGGAAGTCAATGAATTTGGCATTGTGCCAAGGCAAGACACAGTCAGCCAACATGGCACGCATTCATTCTGAGCTCTGTCTGCGACGTACAAGGGGCTTATGGATACTTTGACACCCTTACCACCAGACAGAGCCACTGATTACATTTCAGTAGATGTTGAATGAAAAATACAACATGGCAAGAGGCTCCGGGGACCGAAAGCATCACATTAATTATCCCTTTGATACATGAGCATTTGTGTTGGTTGTAGTGTAATTGGTGTTGCACGGTTCCACACGAGCCTACATGTCAACGTAATGTTCATTACTAAGCCATTATATGACATCCGGATGACTCATATTCATAACGACTGAGATGTCAAGGGGGAAAATTCGAAATTTCTGGGTTTCATGTCAGAGCTGGGACGCAAAACAGGGTTGTTTCCCACTGCTACGGCTAAAAAAGCAGCCAAAATGCATCAAGGGTAGCCAAGCCGACCGCGCTTTGGAGGATTTTGAGAGGAGAGAGGAAAACAACAACCCTGCCAAACCCATCGGAGAATCAGGAAAGCATGACTGAGCCTAGCATCCCAGCACGTAAGCAAGGCGATGGCTAACTACGGCGTCCACTAACTGCTCGCCAGCAATGCATAGGCTTTGGACTTCACACAAACCCAACGTTCCATCCAGCACAGTAACATATGAATCCTATTTAGAGACCAAAAGCGTGGCTGAAACTCCATCAGGTTCATTATTCCTTGAAATCGGTAAACACAACACCCATTAGGACTCAGTTTAATGAACGATTAAAGATGTACATACACATCTGAACTCCCAAAGAAGCATTTGCTAAATCCAACCTGATTTGATCTTGCCAAACAGTTTAAAATGTCAAATAAGACCAAGAAGCTCAAGAGTTTGATTCAGAGCAAATTGTTAAAATGGAACAATTAGAATAGCGTTTTAGCATTTCCCTTCTTCCTACAAATCACAGTTGTTGGTATAAAAAAAATGAGTCAGTTGATGTCACACTTATTCACTAATAACGCAATGTGCCAAGTTTCCCGCTGAGTAGTTTACACTGGCTTACCTTTCATGCCAAACTTTGAGCGTCTGCCATATTTGTTGATTAGCACAAACATAACGACAAGAAGAACGCAGGCGAAGCCAGCCAAGCCAACTGCAATCGACACCTAGAGAAGCAGGAAACACAACATTTCATTTATTTGATGAACCAAATTATGAGATGAGAGCCAGATTTATGAAAACCTAAACAGTCAGGTTAGCACTTAGCTTAGCGTTTGGAGCTGAATGCTAGCATACTTAACCATGGTTAATTTTCGTAAGGGACTGCACAGTAAACGGTTTACTGCCTGCTAATTAAAAGAAAAATGTATATGAAACACTACTCAATATAAAAGGCTAAAACGAACATTAGCATGCTACACTGTTGTTGTGATGTCTCATCACATTGCATGTTTAATTCCCACAGTATATTTTTAGCTATGTTGACTTTTTAATCAAAGCCTGTGCACAAAAAGCCTTAACAAAATCAAATAATGGTTCTCATTAACAAATTTGTGACATAAGTTTGTAAAGAAAAAGGTTGTGCGTTTATGGAAAATGTTTAGACATGTTTTATGCAAATGGAAAACCTCATTTATTTAGATTAGAATGAGGTCAAGAACAAATTCATGTGGCAAGGTATCTGATGTAGAAACATTTGGTGAGAAGTTCTCCTGTGTGTACAAATATGAAATAATCCTCGCAATTATTAGTGAATGAAATGCACTGAGTCTAGTAAGAAGTCTCTTCCATTCTCATTATTCACACTGGAATGAAAGGTCAAGTCAAGCGCATTGCATCGTGGGAAACCGTATGCTCGGTTGCACATTTTGGCAAACATAGTAGGTCATCTGGGTATTCTACATGTATGCATAGAGAAAATTAGCATTCTGTTTACATTCTACACACTGTAAAACACATGCTAGCATGCTATAACTTTAGCTTGAATCTCAAAACACGTCTTATTTGTTAATATAATAACTTATAATCTAAAATGATTTTTTAAATATTTTTAGGAGGGAACTACAGTAAAGGAATGACATAACTAGCAACTTAAAATGTGTCAAATAAATATTTCTATCTAATCTCTTGTGTAGTAATCTTTTGTGTAGGAAACCTATGAAGTGTGTCTTGACTTGTTTATATGATTTGTATTGATGTTGATGCTGTAATCATGAGAGATTTATGTAATTGGAGTCATAAGTTGCATATGGCAGCGGTAGCTTTGATAAGTTGCATGAAAAGATAAGTCCAAAGCATATAAAAGGGGGAAAAAATTATTATAATAATAATTCAGGTTAGGTGTCGTAAGACAGAGATACCGCTATAGCCAAGATACACTTCCTTATGGGAAATACAAAGCGTACAACTTAATATAATGTCTAAATGCTCCAGATAAACACCAAATAAAGACAATAAACAATAAATCAAAGCAGTCAGAGTGCTGGAATAAAGCTATCTGAAGCAAAAAAGCTTTTCCCTGTAATTAGGACCTCCAAACAATCGAGGGCCATGCTCACTTTTTGTGTCAGCGCTAGATTCCCTATTAAACCCTTCAAATGAAAATTTAATCTCTTTCCAGTCAATTATAGCACAAAGATGAACAAAAGTACTTTTTTAAGCAGCTGTAAAACACAGAAGCCACAAGGGAACCAGCAGATAGAGGTAGAGAGTGAGGAGGAAAAAAATACACAAAAAGAAAATGGTTTAGAATAGTTTGTTTTCGACACCACTGTCATGTGTTCCTGGGAACAAGATGTTCAAGAAACCTCATTATACTTCATATGGGTGCTTTTGATCTCAGGAGAAAAAAACAACACTCACTCCAAATGTGTCCTCTTCAGGCCGATGTGTCATGGTTGGAATAGCTGTCGGAGTCGGACTCACTAGAAAACAAACAAGAGTGTAGTGTTGCTCAGAATGAAGAAAGAAGAAGAAGAAGAAAAATATATTTTTGAACCTTTTGAAGATAAAATAATACTACAGTACATGGACATACTGTACATTACTGTGACCCCAAAATGAGTAAATGACTTATGTTTTCACATTGTGCTTTGATCAGTTCAAAGGTAGGTAGGGTGGTAGTGTAGGTAGGTTGGTAGGTAACCAAAGGTTGACAACCAAAAATGTCCAAATTCTGTTTAGCTATATTTTGAAAAGTATATGTACAGTATATGTGTGATATTGTTTTATAATTTAAAATTGCTTAAAATATATTTGTGGCTTAAATGTACATATACATTTTAGAGCCACTGTATAAGTAGCATAGATTTGATTTCCCCCCAAAATCAAGGGTAGGGTGGTAGGTGGGTAGGGTGGTAGGTGGGTAGGTAGGTAGGTAGGTAGGTAGGGTGGTAGGTAGGTAAGTAGGTAGGTAGGTAGGAGGGTAGGGTAGGGTAGGGTGGTAGGTAGGGTAGGTAGGTTGGTAGGTAGGGTGGTAGGTAGGGTAGGTAGGTTGGTAGGTAGGGTGGTAGGTAGGGTAGGTAGGTTGGTAGGTAGGGTGGTAGGTAGGGTAGGTAGGTTGGTAGGTAGGGTGGTAGGTAGGGTAGGTAGGTTGGTAGGTAGGGTGGTAGGTAGGGTAGGTAGGTAGTTAGGGTGGTTGGTAGGTAGGGTAGGTATGTAGGTAGGTAGGGTAGCAGGTAGGGTAGGTAGGTAGGTAGGGTGGTAGGTAGTGTAGGTAGGTCGGTAGGTAGGTAGGTGGGTAGGGTGGTAGGTAGGGTAGGTAGATTGTATGTTCACTCTGAGTAACTGTTTTAAGACTGGAAGGCCGCTTCATGCAGAATTGATCTCCAACACACCTGCCTGGAAGTTTTTAGTATCCAAAGACCTTGATTTTCTGGTTCAGGTGTGTTTAATTAGTGCCAGAGCTAAACTCTGCTGGAAGGTGGCCCTCCAGGAACAGGACTAGACAACCCTGGTTTTAAGAGTACCTTCGGTGATTATTCACTAAATATGTCTTGGGGCAAATACTGTTTGATTAGACCCGTTTTTTGCAAGGTTACTGCCATTTCGACAGGGAGTCCAATCCTAGATTAGGCAGTCGCTATTATTCATGTAGTATTGAACAAAAGCCTTAGGCTGTTCTTATTTTTCTGTTTTTTTACCTCGATGGAGGGCCCGTGTGTATACGGCCTGATATAGCCATCTAACTTCATTCAGAGCTCTGACAGTAACAATCTGTCATTCACACAGTTTCTGTGCCTCAACTTGATTAAATATGCTAAACTAGGGTGATATCAGTGCAACATTCTTGTGAAGGTCAGTAAATGTCCCTCGGACAGTATCTTGTGAAAAAGGATCTTATTTTTCTCCCATACTGACAGATATCGGTCACATTATGCCAAAAATACAAAACAGGTCTAATAACAGCATGCCCAACTATGGTGGCCGGCCATTTGAGAATAAGGCCAAGGTAATTGTTTGGAGGGTAGTTGTATGTTCAGTGCACAGACCAAATTACTTCTTTCTAAATCATTCTTTGTTTTATGATAAACAAAACTAATGAATAAGTTACAAAAATACATGCAGCAAACAATTAAAGGGAGAACTCACCATAATCTGGGTAGTCTACAGAGAAAAGAGGGGAAAAAAACACACAGTGGTATATAATTACAACTAGATATGAATATGTCAATATCAGCTCTAAGGACTCAGGTAAACACATTTTTAAACTGTTATTATACTATGATCAGCATTTACCCTTCAGTGCATTCTTGTGCAATTATGGTAATGTTCGAATATGAGTTTTTTAGAATTTAATATGAGAAATCATTGCAATATTTAACATGCAATTAAACATTATATTGATGTGAAATCAGACATGAGGGCATCATATGATCTGCATGGATACATGTTCATGTGCACACAATATCAGTGCCGTGAGGTTCATAATTAATGAAAACACTAGTATAAATACATCTGATGTTTTTGAACAAAATGCTCACCAAGACTGCATTTATTTGATCATAAATACTGTTAATATTTTGAAATATTATTAACATTTAAAATGGCTGTTTCTTTTATAACATATTTAACATTTTAAAATGTAATAAGCATGTAATAATAATCATCACCTCATTAATTAATTTCATAAAAAATGATACACACACACACATACAGTATATCTATCTATATATATATTTTAAATAATTTAATAATCCATTTCATGTAAAAAAAAAAAAATGCTAAATTAATTCTTTAAATAAATAGTAAAACCTCAGTTTTTGTGTGTGTGTGTGTGTGTGTGTGCGTGTGTATGTAGTATCAGACTTTTCACTCTAACTTTACCTATACGTATCTATTTAAAGCACAGACTGAACCCAAGTTTTTCGGTATGACAGTGCACACACTCACACACTTATGTGCGCTGTAGCATCATCCCAAGAAATGTGAACTTTCCAAGTAAGGGTCTGTATCTATATTTATCTATAAACCTGTTGGATTCTCACCTCGGGTGTTAATAAGTTATTCAGGCAGGGCCTTTAACCGACATCCAGTCTGTTCTGTTTCTCAACACGGCATCTGTGACCTAACAGCTCTAATCATAGAAATGCTTGCCCAGAACAAGAGAACTTGACTTTTATTTCCCACAGGTGGAAAATCAACATAGTACTTTTTGCAGGTATGACAACACTTTGGGGGAAAAAATGTTTCCAGTTGTATTTGACAGTTCACTCATTGGGAAACACTATGTAACTATAAGTTTTAGAATAACATGCGATGTTATCGAGTCACGTACCATCAAAAGGTGGCCGTAGGAAGTGGGCGTACACAGTTTTGATGGCCACGCCCAGGAAGTTGCTGGCCTCCAATGTGTAATTGCCATTGTTGTGGTGTGTGGGGTTTTTGAACATGAGGCATCCCTCTAGATTGTCCTGGTAGACATCCATCTCTGGACGGATGTATTCAGTCGGCTTGATCTCTTCACCCTTATAGTACCAGCGCAGGGTGGGCAGGGGGTTTGCACGCACCGTGAAGATCATACACGTGTCGTGCCACTTCTGCGGCTCCTCAAACTTAATGATAACAGGAGGGACTGCAGGAGAGAAACAAAATACTTTTTATACAGAGAGGATTAAGTACTTTGTGCCACCATCCAACATAAATCCATAGACCAATGAGCATGGATTATCATAAACCGCATTTATGCATGAGTGGGACTTTGGCCTCTGCGGCACAGGTGGTCCGTACAGATATTTGTTTGATTCGCTATCCTGCCTCTTGGACAGGAAGATCCCAGGTTAACTGCCTGGCTGGTCATCAAGCATTTGGACGAGCAGATGTTTCATGGAATGCAGGCACAGAGCCAAAGGTGGGAAACAACTGCAGCCCATAAACGTTTCCATCATCTTTTCCACCCACCGTATGTTTGACGGTAACTGTCAGCAATTATGATGCTGTAAATATGTCAAATGTTCATATTAAACATTCATCAGGGATCAAATCAGTGGTTAATTCATTTCAGGATGTTTTCACACCTAATTCGTGTGAAACGGAGCGGTTCAGCGTGTATATGTGAACAAACCATGTGATCTCAGACCCCCCTAAAAGGACCCAAAAGCGAACCGTACTCAGACCACCTCCGGATCGTTTGTGGGTCCGTTTGTGGTTCGATATCTTCGTGATATGCGAAAGCAATGAGATCCCGGACCGCTTTGCGTTTCGTTTCGACATGTGTACCTGGAGACTTGCCATACCTGCAGTCACGTTACGTCACTGCTGTAACAACAGAAAAAACTTTTCACCATGGCAGGTCGTGGGGTTGTGTGGTCCCAGGAGGAGAGTTGTGCACTTATTGAAATTTGGAAAGATGATTACATTAAACGCAAACTCTCCTCAACCCATAAAAACATAAAAGTGTTAATTTCGTCACAAGCAGTCCTGTGGCAAGCAGCAGCAGTTGTTGATAGTGTTGGAAGAACATTTTCTTTTTAGTTGCTATCCTTTTCCTCTTCCGTTTTTTTCAGATGCTTTCCTTTAGTTCTGCTTTGTCTGACTCTTTCTCTGTTTGTCATTTGCTTCAAAATGTGCCACATCCATGTGATGACAACATGTGAAGACGCCATCTTGAATACCCAAAATCCACTGCTGCACAGAAAGCTGGGGTCTGAGTTCTTATAAAGTTGTGGTGTGAACAAGAAAGGGTCTGAGATCTCTTCATTGCTGAAGAGGACCAAAAAAAGAACTGGGTTCTCTTTTGAGTCCACTAGATTGTGAACACCAAAAGGACTGAGGTCACTTTCGGCTGGTTCCCTTTCTGGTTCACTTTAAGTAAACTGGGTTTGTTTCTTTTAAAACGAACTATATGTGAAAACACCCCCAATGTGTCATTTCTACTTACATGAACACACATAATTTCTTCTAGAATAAGTTATTTTAAGCTTAAATATTATAATACAGGACTATTCAAATGTTTGGAGTCTGCATTACTACACCTAAACCTTTTAAATCATTGACATCAAGTATTTTTTTGATTATTCTCCAGTCTCAAAGCCGGAGATTGTGAGAGACAAATAAAGAAAGAAAGAGAGAGAGAGAGAGTGAGAGAGACTGACTGACTTTCTCTTATTTCCACAGATTTTGCCGCTCTAAGCAAATCTTACACGGTCAATAGATATTGAGTGTGGGAAGAATCATGTTACACTGTTGTTGGCCAACACCTTTCAGTATAAATGTAAATACAGATACAAAACCGCAACCTCACATTACGTTGTAATTGTATCTAGCTGTGTTCTTATACGGTCTTTAATTGCCTTACTTCATTCCAAGTGGGAGGAAACAGCTATTGTTGGATATTGTGTTGTATTTTGTTTTCTAACTGTAGACACAGTTCTTTTTTCATTTTTTTCCATTTAGTTTACTTAATGGCAAAGCATCACAGGCTTACCAGGTGATTCTGACAACAGTTAAATTAACATTTTAATCGCTATATCATTTTATTGTGACACATTGTGAAACATAATATGAGTTCTCAAATAGTTTTAACTAGGCACAAAAGACGAGCACACTGGTTAGTCTATTCTGGAGTTAAGATTTATATACTAGTTTCATTTAATTAGATAAACCAAAGTTTCATTATCCTGTTGTGTTTTTTGGTAGAGTCATGTCTTTATATATGATCCTTGTTTAAGGCAGTGTTTGTCTTTGTTCTCTGCCTTTCATTGTCTTTTTGGATTTGTTTGGTTATTGTTACTCAGGGGTAGGATTTATATGTTTGATTAGAGGCATAGTTTCTTTTTGCCAATTTTCATGTTGCTTATTGCCTCAGGATTGTTGTTTCTTTCATTTTCTTTTTCATTTGGGACATTATTTTTGCATGCCTGCCCCTATATGGGACAAATAAACTTCCTTTTTTCTTATCGCTAAAAATGCAATGTGCATTGATTGTTTTCCAAGTTTAATATAAGGCACAAAACACATTTGAAGTGAACAAAAACAGGAACATTTTCAAGTGTCTGATTCCCACATACCATTCCCAACACAGAAAATACACCACCTAACTCTGCCACAAAGCAATCACATGTAGTCTGCTCCACACTGAAACATGATAACATTGATAAATCTCTCTAATATTTCACTTACAGACTTTTTTTCGTGTGAAAAGTCCAGATGAAGAACAGCCCTCGCTTTCATAGATCAATAAACTACACAAATTACGTTCCTACAACACGCTGGGTTGTGTAGAACCTAAGATCTCTTTTTTGTAGGAGTAGGACTGTTTCTGGTGAAGCAATTTATCATTATTTTATAACCAATTTCATTAGCCTCACTGTGATTTTTTTAGAATTTGATTTGACAAAGCAGTCATTTGCACAAATTTGGCTAAATTAAAATACTAATAATTATAAAACAGTGAACTAATATTCAAAACAACATTCAAAAGGCAGTGTGTAATTTCTGTGCCTCTAACATCACTAAACAGAACTACAAAACAATCCAACCCGATCTCATGAGAAAACCTAAAGGTTGTGATTTTGTATGATTTCATAACATGATTTGTATGGAAATTTTTTTTAGGGAGAAATAAAAATGTAAGAATAAAGGGCCACCCCTAAACAGAAGTGTCAGTGGGGTGTAAGCAGAACGGACGAAAACATACAAATAAGACTGTCATAAGAATTAGCTACCAATTCACTAAAATGTAAAATAGTTACAAACTGCCATAAAAGTGTGTTAAAACAATCTGTTGTCAAACAGGTTTCCATAACACCCTCTCTCTATCTGTCATTGGTCAGTCAGTCAGGTAGCTCCACCCCAAACTCACACCATTGGCTGAGCCAGTTGCTATGCTGTGCAGGTCAGAATCCTAAAACAAACAGCGATGTTTTGAAAGCATCACACAGCCACAATATTTACACTTTTGAGCAAAATCAACTGCCACAATGGCTTACTTTTAGGTGCCTACATGCTAAGCTACAATAATAGAAAGTATTTTAATAACAAAAATTACACATTTCACCTCTACCTTGCTATAGCATTGATTCTGCGTCTCCCAGAGCCATTTCGATCAATAGTACTTACTACTTCCAAAAAAATAAAAAAAGCTTTCTGGTAATCCCCTCCCTAAACGCCTACCTTTAAAATAAAAGGCAATACAAATTAAGAAACTGAGTTGGAAGCCATGAGGCACAGTAGCAAGTGACAGTAACAAGCTAAAGAGGCAGACAAAGCCAGTTCAGTGAGCTAGACAGAAGCAGAATTGGCACGTTAGAGGCAGTGAGGCTGAATGTAAAGATATTCGAGAGGCAGGGAGCAAGAAAAGAGGCACTTACACTGTACTGAAAGCTGTATTGAGGCATTAGTCATCCCAACTATATTCTCTGCAATGCAAGTCAGCATGAAGCTGTTATCGTCTCTGCTGATGTTGACCAGAGTTAAGTTGATGGAGTGGACATTCGGTGGATATTGATTGGACTGGAAGAGAGAAAGACACAATAGCTTTTGGAAACACAACCAAGCTTGCACAGATTCAACAAATGGTTTATGGTGTAAACCAGTCACTGTAAGGCTCAAGTGAGTAATTTAATAGATCTTAAATTGAGTAAATGCCAAATTAAATTTTAAACAAAACCAGACTGTTAGGGATAGACGTATAGTCCGTTTAAAAAGGTAGTTCTGTCAGGACCACTATCGTCAAAGATAACTTACAGTTAGCATACATTTTAGGTTGGGGGTATGGTTCTGTTCTGGGCAACACTCCCTGCCCATCCATGCAGCCTAGCATAGATAGGAGCAGGGAGAGCATAAATAACCCCCCTAGGGTAAACTGAACAGAACCAACATTAATGATTAATGTAGCAGATATCATCAATGTGTGATTATTTTATATATCAACATAATTCAGTGGTCTGACTCACGAAGAAATATCCAATGCCAAGTCCTGACTGGACGAGAGGAGGAGTTGGGGATGGAGGTGGGTGATTAGCTCCTGAGCAAAGCGATAGCTGCTGAACAATGACTGAAAGGACCTTATAAAGGGAATTATGATTGGCGTCGTATTCCTATAGGTAGACGTGGATCAGCTGAGTGTCAGCTGATGCGAGCTTGACTAACGTGACCTGCCAGAACTAACGCTACGCTCCATTACTGGCTATCCAGCTGCAAAAGCACATATGGCTGGTTTAAACTGGTTTAAGCTTGTTTAGTTGGCTTCCCAACTGTTTTTTTAAGCTGGTTTAGACCCATGTTTTCCAAAGTTGTATGTTCTACTAAATTAAATATGCCATCTACCTTGACTAATATCATTTTTAAGGTACATAAAATGCACAGTTTTTACTAGTCAAAATGCTACAAGCAAAAGTCTGCCTTACTTGGTGTGTGTTAATGGAGTGCAGTCCACCAACAGTCCAGTCCACTTCCGGTACCGGCACTCCTGACCCATTACAGGTGATTGTGACCCTGTCACCTTCTATCACCGTCAGGTTACTGTGACTTACGCTGATTTCCGGCAAATCTTGGTGGGAAATAGACAAGCAGTCATGGTACAACAAAAGGTATTTATGCTTTTTAACATAAATATGTTCAAGTTAATCTAAATAAATGAAATGGCTGAGCTCTATTGACAGCATTTGTGGCAAGAATTTCATTATGTCGATTCAATTCGTCCCTTACTTTAAAAATACCTTTTTAAGGTCATGACATTAAAGCACCGGCTATAATTTTACACAAACAACATCAGGAAACAATTTTACCACACTAGGCTCATGTTAAGATTTACAATTGTTTAAGTTTTAGAGCTACAGTATTCTTTTAAGGAACGTTTTCCACAAAATTAGAAAAATATACACATTTATTTTCTGTGGTAATCAAAATTGCTACAAATGCGGTTGAATCATTTTGATTTTAGCCAAAAATGACAATTCTGTCATCATTACTCACTCATGTCAATCCAAACCTGTATGACTTTATGACTTTCTCTTGCAGAACATGAAAGAGAATTTTGAAAAATGTGTTATTGTCCATACAATGAAAGTCTGTGGGGTCCAAAACAACATTAGACCATTTTGTTGGAAAATATCACTATAATATAGGGACCAATTCTCACTATTAACTAGTTGCTTATTAGCATGCATATTATTAACATAATGGCTGTTTATTAGTTCTTATAAAGCACATATTCTTCATGACCATACTCTACATCCCTAATCCTACCTAAACTTATCTTACTAACTATTAAGAGGCAGCAAATTAGGAGTTTATTGAGGCAAAAGTCATAGTTAATGGTTTGTTAATAGTGAGAATTGGACCTTAAAATAAAGTGTGGCCATATCTTCTTTCGTGTTCCACAGAAAAAATAAAGTCATACAGGTTTAGAATGGTGAGTAAATGATGACAATTATCATTTTTGGGTATACTATCCCTTTATTGAACCCAAGACATTTCTTTTATGGCGACCACAATTTAGAGAAAATGTCCCATACCACAGTGTGAGATGTTCATGAGCTGTAGAGGGATCTTGGAGACTCCATTGTTGCAGAACAGCTGCTGGTTATGGAGTCCGGCTTCGCCTCGCTGCTGCCACAGCTGGATCCAACGGATATTGCAGCTGCAGTTAAACACCACTCTTTCCAGTTTCCTGCCACAACACAATAGAGTTCTTAGTGAGGACGCACATCACATGCACACAATGCCAAGAAGGTCCATTTAGAAAACCAGCAGAAAACTAGGTGAAGGACACCGTTATCCTACAAAACATCGACTTCTCCAGCACCCATCAGTCAACCAAGGCCTGGAGAGCTGCTGGCGTAGTTCCATTTTGCAGCCAGAGTAGGTTCTGTGCCCAGGGCTTTGTGTACGAATGCTTTCTGGACTGCAGCCCTTTCCTGGCCACGTCTGTCCAGCTATTCAGCGTGCCAAATTCACCACTGGTGCCCAGGGCGATCACAGTCCACACAAACGAAGTCAAACAAAACATGAGCTTCTGGATTAAGGCAAAAACTAAGCCGCAAGACGTGATGTAATGTGGCATAATATTTCGGTGCAGTCTAAAATGAATTCTCGCAAAAAATAAGTAAAAATTGTCAAGTTAATAAACTGGTCAATTTAAAATGGATAATTTAGTTGGTAACTTGGTAACTTAGTTGGACATGAGTGAACTTGACATAAGCGAAACAAAGGATCAACCTGTCTACTAAAGAAAAAATGTCATGACTAGCACATATAACAGCTTTTACTTCAGTCTTAAAGAGGTCATATGATGCTGCTAAAAAGAACATTATTTTGTGTATTTGGTGTAATGTTTGTTTATCTAAAGACAGTTTAAGCCATAAAAATAATCACAAAATCTTAAAAAATTGTCACATGCACAGTTTTACAAAGAAACAAATGTGGCTTTATCTGGACTTACGTATAGACGTAAAATGCATTCAGTGTTTACATTTTATTAGTACTTCCTGGAAATTGAACCAATAACATTGCCGGTGCTAGAGCCACGCATGTAAAAACTATGAAAATGTATGTAAAATACTGCAAAATAATGCATAAAAAAAAACATTCATTTGGCAGATGCTTTCACCTGAAGTGACTTAAAGCATTCAAGGTTACGTTTACTGAAAACTGAACCCATAATATTGGCGTTGATTGAGTGAAACACTGTGAAAGAGAAATGCTTAAATACTTAAAAATATATATTATCAATATTTGCCAGTAAATTTTCTTAATACACCCCTCATTAGCAAGAATTTGGACCTTGTGTGCGAGTAAAGCATATTAGGGTTTCTTAAAGGATCTTCTCGATGCTCAGTAACATATGGGATTATTGTTGCATACATTTAACTGGACAGACGGAAGGGTGTGAGGTCAAACCCACATAAAACTGGCACTGGATAGCACCTCCACCCACAACTACCTCACTTGCCCAATGAAGGGCTTCCTTTCAGAACCATCTGTATGCCAATGATTCCAACACCTACTCCCAGTGCAGCTATATCGCTGCAAACAACAACCACCTCTAGCCCTCTCAGTATCGCATTTCACGCTCCTTCAAACAACCTTTGAGCGCAGCCACCCCCACTCCTGCACCAAAAACAGACATCTTCTACATCAACCTCCTCCAAATGTCTAAATGTCAACTCTGACATATCTCCCCGAAATCATGAAGGCTCCACTGAGAGTTTAGAGGGTCTTCGACTTCCTGGAAATGCTGAGTCAGGGGTGCCGTTTCCAGTGCTTGAAACTATCCTCTTCCCTGCTTATATCTTCTTCTTTACTGGTGTTAAGGGCCAATCTGAAGGCATCACCGCATCTATCCAGTATATGTAATGGACAAATGTTCAAGTAGCAAATAAAACAAAGAGGATATTACCAAGTTTAGAAGATTTGATCTAGATCATGGTTCTCAGTTGTTTTTGAACCCAAGGAGCCCCTTTTGTCCAACACATCATTCATAAATACATAAATTATAATTTTAAAATATATATTTTTTTATTTACAAAACTAATGTATTTAAAAAAAGTAAGTTTTTTTTTTCATTTTAACTTTACTAAAATATTTATTTAATAATTTGTTTGATATTTTAATTAAGATTGTGTTAATATAATAATTTAAATAATTATTTATTGAAAATCTTGAAAATCATAAAATAGGCAATTTATAAAGGCAAATTATAAAATATAAAATATAAAATAATTAAAATAATAATATAAAAATATAATATAGGAAAGGATATATTAGGAGACAGAAAGAATGCATATTTAAAATAAATGAATAAATAAAACACTTTTAAAAACAATGGAGACAGATAAACTAGGAGATGGAACGCATTTTTAATACAAAAAATAAAACCGGCAGATAGATTAACTATGAAGTCGAATGCACATTTTTAAATAAAGTAAAATAAAAAGCTAATAAAAAAATTTAAAAAACAAGTTGATAGATCTAGAAAAAAATATATAGTTTAACAATCATAAAAGACCACACTGCAATTTCTGCAGCTGTTCAAATGCTCACAAAAAAGAATATAATTAAAATAGTCAAATGTAATTTTTCTACTTTTAATATATAACATTAACTTTTAGAATAGTACTTCATTAGACTTTTTGTCAGACTAAAGTCTAATTTTCCTTTGCAGTCCCCAGTTGTACTGATTTAGGAAACTGTATGACAGCTGCTTTTATACTTTTATCTACCATAGTTACTGAGAGCAAAGAACAGTGTGTAATCGCCTTTGTTCCATTTTACGCTCACTCCTCGCTTAAAGGGCTTCCAGCCGGCAGGATCCTGCAGCGCGGAAGGTTCCGGATCTGATCTCAGTGGGAGTCTCTCCCCTTTAAGAGTACGAAATATTAAGCCCGCAGGATATGTCTCACCTGGCCTGAAGCCTGGAGGAGCATGACGGCCTAAACCTCTGCACGCTCATTCATTCATCAGTTGCTGCGAGTGAGATAACCTTTCTCATTTGCAAGATAGGGCAGGAGATAGAGGCATATGAGCTGAATCCCATGCATATGAAATGGGCTGAACTGTAAGCTCTGGGAAACGGCATTGTTGCTCATTTGCACAAACGAGTGGGGCATTTTTCACGTGAATCTTTTAAACAATTTTGTTGGCACGTTCCGCACAAGGACAAGCGCAACCTGCTCGTGCATTTAGAAGCTTTGATGAATAATGATCAAAGGAGAGCCTAAGTAGTTTCTCCACCCTTTAAAACTAAATTAACATGTCTAATGAGAAGAGTGCATGTTTCCTCTCTTACTAAGCAGTATCATGAACAGTTCATAATGGAGAAAGAACTCACACAACATGCTTAATTTATAGCCCACGTCTTATGATACTCTTGATTAGTGGTTCCAAACTAGTGGGTTACAACCCAAAAATGAGCCACAGCAGGCCTGTTTTGATGGGTCACAGATAGCAGTAAAAACAGTGCTAAATGCTAACAATAAAATGCAATTAACCATATAATCGTCTAGCTAGGATAATAAAACAAACTGCACAAAGCCTCTCTGAACCAACAAAACACACAAACCTAACCAGCTAAGTTGCTAAAAATTATAACAAACCAATCTATTGAAGTTATAGTTGTTTTTTTTACCATGTTTAGATTGAGTCTGGCCAGCTGACAAATGCCTCAATCACCTCTAAAACCATCTACCTGGTTTGGCCATGCAGGTTGAGAGACCAGCTAACCATATTAGTCTGGTTTACCAGGTACAAAAACTCGGCTAAGTTGGCATTGTTGGTTTGATCTGGTTTAACTTGACTCCTCACCTATGAAAGCTGGTGTTCAGCTTGTTTTCTGGTTTCCCCAATGTGGCCAAGCTGGTCTTTAGCTGGTTTAGGTGGTCACTCAGTCTGACCAGCTGACAAGTGTCAAAAACTCCTCTAAAACTATCTAAATAGACCAGCCTAACTGGTTTGGCCAGGCTAATGGACGAGTTAACCATAATTTTCATCTAAAGATGGTATTGGTGGTTTTATTTGGTTTAACTGGTCTCCCAATGTGGCCAAGCTGGTCTTTAGCTGGTTTAGGTGGTCACTCAGTCTGACCAGCTGACAAGTGTCAAAAACTCCTCTAAAACTATCTAAATAGACCAGCCTAACTGGTTTGGCCAGGCTAATGGACGAGTTAACCATAATTTTCATCTAAAGATGGTATTGGTGGTTTTATTTGGTTTAACTGGTCTCCCAATGTGGCCAAGCTGGTCTTTAGCTGGTTTAGGTGGTCACTCAGTCTGACCAGCTGACAAGTGTCAAAAACTCCTCTAAAACTATCTAAATAGACCAGCCTAACTAGTTTGACCAGACTAAGGGACCAGTTAAGCATAAAATTGAACCAAAGAAAAAGAAAAAAAAAATAGCAATACCATCTTTAGTTCAATTTTATGCTTAACTGGTCCCTTAGTCTGGTCAAACTAGTTAGGCTGGTATATTTAGATTGTTTTAGAGGAGTTTTTGACACATTGGCAGACCAGATAAACTAAAGATGGTATTGCTATTTTTTTTTTTTTCTTTGGTTTATCTGGTCTGCCAATGTGACCAAGCTGGTCTGACCAGCGGACGAGTGTCAAAAACTCCTCTAAAACCATCTAAATAGACCAGCCTAACTGGTTTGACCAGACTAAGAGACCAGTTAACTCTAAAATTCAACTAAAGATGGTATTGCTGGTTTTATTTAGTTTAATGGGTCTCCCAATGTGACCAAGTTGGCCTGACCTGCAGACAAGTGTCCATAAAATTCAACTAAAGATGGTATTGCTGGTTTTATTTGGTTTAACTGGTATGCCAACGTGACCAAGCTGGTCTGACCAGCAGGCAAGTGTCTAAACATCCTCTAAAACCATCTAAACAGATAAAACTAACTGGTTTGGCAAGGCTAAGAGACCAGCTAGCCACATTAGATTAGACCACATACAACAAAATTCAAATAGTTGAAGACTAACCAAATGTGGACAAGCTGGTCTTTAGCTGGTCAACCAGTTCCAAGTCTGACCAGCTCACAAGTCTCCAAAACCCTTTTAAAATAATCAAAATAGACCACACTAACCAATTTGACCAGAGTTGTCAAGCTAACCAGCTTAGGCTGATTTAACTGGTCTCCCAGCATAGCCAAGTTGTTCTTCAGATAGTTTCATAATC